GCCTCCCGGGCTCCCGGGGAGCCGCCGCCCCGACCCCAACCCCCGGCCCGGGGGCGCGAAGCCAGCAAGCTTTGCCGCAGATGGACAGATTTCTGTGGCTTTTTTTTCCCCTTTCGATGAACCATCAGATTCCACCAGTGCGAGTACACTCGGGAAGAGAGAGGCCTGACGGCGTTAACAAGGTGCTCAGCATAGAACTGGATTTCTGTGATTGTTTACTTTTTTTTCCTCCCTCAAATAACAGACTAATGTAATCATTGACCGAACATTTATTTAGCCACGAATAATTGAACCAGCGGTTTACAAGTGACGAATCTCTGTGCTGGTGATTGGATGTGGCGGCCCTCTGCTGCAGTTCTAAAAACTGCTTGAAAACGCAAACCCATCTATAAGACTTAGTCTACGTATTTTGCAAACCTAAACACTTTGCATGTAGTTTATGTTTTAATCATAGAAGGATCTTGGACATTTTCTGTGGTGAGGTAGAAACTTTAAATTAGTATCATGTAATGATTTGGCCTCAGATGGAAACAAGTAGTCTTGATTTAAAAAAAAAAAAGAAAGAGAAAAAAAAAGCTATATAGCCTAATTTCTTGATTGTAAAATAAGAGAGAAATAGATGGTCGCGATCTAAATTAAAAACCTGTTAGAACTCAGGACAGTCGCTCGAATGCGCTTTTAACAATATTTAAGGCTGTTTTGATGAATGCATTGTGAAAATCAAGTCTTAACGAATTCTTTACTGAATGTCTACAACATAGTATAATACACACGGTATTCTTGCCACTGGATAGTCTTCAATAAAAATGTAATTGCATTTTTTTTTCTTAGTCTCTTAAGTAAGTCTTATTTTAACTAAGCATTGACAGAATATCTTAAAAACGGTAACGTGGGGGGCGGGGTGGGGGCGGGCTGAGCGCTCGGCAGCCTAGCGGCTGGGTGTCCTGCTGTTCATAACTAGTTCACAGACTCTGAGGCTAGCCTTTTGAGAAGGCCTCCATCTTCAAGACCTTGAACCAGCATTCTCTTATTCTTTAAACTGTGGAAATAATCTTCCAGTACTTAGACTCTGATATGCATCCCTTTTTTAAAAAAAATAATAATAATGCTAATAAAAGGCAGTGTATTTAAACTGTGCTTTGCAAATATTATGTATGTTATGAATGACTACAGTCACAGGGCAAATTATTTGTAGAATGATTATCTTTTAGCTAGAAAAAAATTACAACCCTTTTGGGCAGAGATGTTTCTTTTTTAATGTTAATTAATCAAGGGGAAGTGATTTAAATATGCATGCATATAGCAGTCAGGATGATCTAGATGTGGTTTTGGTTTTTTGTGAGCTTTTCTTTTTTTTAGAAAAAAGATTCAAAAGACAGGACTTGTTTTTCTCTGGGAGCTGAATCCATAATCACTGGATATTGGTACAGTACGAAAAAAATGTACGTGTGTTTTTCACTTCAGAATTTGAATGACTTGCCCAAGGAATCTGAGAAATAAAGCAAATAAGTTGCTCTATTTTCAAAGTAGTCATTCGATATAAATATATTATATCAATCTTAACTTTTTTATTCTCTGATATGATTAATGATATGTATATTCTTACTTTTTCTTCTAATGGGCATATGTATCCTTGTGGACATTTTGGAGAGAGGTTTTTCTTGGACTCTCCCATTTATAGAATCTTTATACTCTTTTACTGCGTGGTCCCCTGCTTTTAACAGATTTCCGAAGCAAATATATTTGTGCTTTTTCTTATGTAGGATGACCAGCAAAACTAGTTTACTGAGTTGTCGATTTTATCAGTAGATAAGAAACTTTCTTTATTACAGTTTCAGGGAAGATCTTTTCAGGATATTTCTCAGTTGTTCTAAGGGCC